TGTGTCAGTATATAATGCCTGCATCTGTAACTTTCACTCTATGCATCCGAAGAAGTGAGGTTTTTACTCACGAAAGCTCATGCTCAAATAAATCTGTTAGTCTTTAAGGTGCCACCAGACTCCTTGTTGTTTTTGTAGATACAGACTAACATGGCTACCCCCTGATACTTTGTGCTGGCAGTTCTTTCCTTCCTTTATCAGTTAGGTAATTTGCATCAACACAGGCTTGGCTTTTGGATTCAAAGCCATCAGCAGAGCTCGGAGACTCTGTCTTAAAAGGAACACAATTAACTTTTACCAGAGTTTTGATTACTTTTAACTCTTGCTTCCAAAACACACAGAGATCTGAAAAAGAAAACACAATCTATTGTGGCTCCTTTGGAGCCCTAATAGGATTTTAATTAAGTAGCATGTTTTGTTTGCATTTCTTTTACCCCCCTCTATAATATACACTGCACATGTCTGCACATTCCTTCTATACTTTAACTTTTAAAACATTAGCCATATTAATTTTTATATAAGGTGCAACCGTTTCTTTTGTTCTTACAGAGGTTTTTATGTACCCTTATCAAAGTGACAGTCTGATTACACACAGCCATTTTAAGGCTCAGTGTTTCTAACATTGCTTCTTTTTGTTTTGTGCACCTCACCCCTGCTTTGCTTCAGAGGGGCACTGTCTTTATTCTTTTACTACGTCTCTCATCTGCTATTTTGTTACAAAACCAAACAAACAAACAAACAAAAAGAATCCAGAATCACTCCCTATTCTTCTGATTTTGACTGCCCTGCTGCAGCCATGACTTGGTCTTTATTTAAAAACATTTTAAATTTTGTAAAGAATCAAGTTACCCCTTAAGGGTTAAATACCAAATCCCAAAGCCAACCAACACTGATTACGTGTGTCTGGCAAAAAGGTCTGTCAGTTTTGCAACTTTGAATTAAAGAATCAAATGGATTTTTAGTGGCGTTATAAACAAAACAAAACCAATTTATCTTAAACCTACAAAACAGGAGTTTTACAAACCTCACATATTTCCACAGACAGACAGATACGTACATATTTTCTTTTCCTTAACATCCCTTTTATACTGCTTTATTTTTACATAGCTGTAGATAGATTACATTACCTTTATACATTTGGGGCAGTTAAGTTCCAATAGAACCCCCTATGTTCTTTTAGCAAATTTGACTCAATTGTCCATAGTCCAATGATTTCAATCAGATTGTCTCTTTACCTGGATTGTTTATAGACATTCCTTTGGAAAAAGGGCCCATTTTTCCTTCAGAATGGCTGCAAAGAAACCAAGAATTCTTTTTCTCTTTAACGTGGTCCTTTTTAACATTTTCACAAAGTTTAACTGCTTAATTCTCTCTAGCCTCTGTAGAGTTAACTTTTCACTCTTTCCTTTAATTGCTTGTTTATCTCCCAAAATGACACCTTTATCAACTCAGATTTCACCATTTTAAATATTGTTCCAGGGGTTCATGCTTGCACTTACTGCGTCTTTTACTCCTGACACTATGCTCTTAGGGCTTCCAGCCTGTTTTTCAGTTTCTTTATCTGTTGCTTGCCTGCTTGTCTGGGCCCTATCCTGCTTTTTCTAATGAACCGTTTTTATGAGTGATATTGTGGTTATTTCACAATTTTGAAAGAAATGTTTAAGGAAAGGGACCAGAAAGGGTGGGGGCTAGTTGAGGAGCCCACCCTCCTTGCTGAATTGGTAGTGGAACACTAAAGAATCAGTTTCGGAGGCAGACAATGAAGGGGAACAGAACAAGGGTTTTTTTTGTTTGTTTGTTTTTGTTTTTTTGCCCTTTTTACAATGAGATGGGAGTATGGAGGGGGTTGGTATCGATCTGGGGGTTTTTTTTTTCGGAGAACGGGGTAAAGGGGAGCGCTCGATCTGGTGGTGGGAGAGGAGGCTTTTAATAAAGCTTTTAACTTCTTATTTCTCTCTTTTGAGAGAGGCGAGTTTTGATTTTGTCCACCCATGATTTGCCTCTTCCCACCACTGCATGAAACAATTAACCTCTCCTTTGGCCAATTTAGTTTTAGGTTGGCCGAATTTGTCTTTTAAGACGTCCACTCAGTCCTTGTCCAAAGATCCTAACAGTGGCCACTGAGTTTTGGGATCTCCATGAGTTAGCCTAGACCATTTTTCCAGAAATTTACAGGAGTCCGGACCCTTCCTAAAATACATAAAATGAGCCGGCATTCCTTTAGGGAACTGTCCCGACTTAGACGTCTGGTTACCAATACAGGAGGACTTTACACACACCAATCACATAAGAAGGAAATTCGGGTTCGTCAGAGCAATGCCCGGTGCAACACACAAAAGGAGCCCACAGGCTACTGCCTCAATCGCCCTTGCTTTCACACCAAGAGTTTTACCCAAGATGCGGTGTGGCTGCGATTGTGCAGATTGCACTCACTCAGACCGCGGGGACAGGAACCCCTGGGTCGGCCGATCCCCAGACAGAGACGGCACCCAGACTCAAACACTCCACAGGAAGACGGATAGACACAGAGACAGGACAGTCCTCAGTCCAGACAAAACGCAGAAATAATTACCTGACCAGATTCCTGATGTCAGATCTTGGGATCCCTACCAGAACAGAGTGGGAACCAACAGGTTCGATGGCGTAGACCTCACTGTGGTCGTGCGCCCTTCCGTTCAGTAGGAGGACCGCTTGGGCCAAATGCCCAGGTGCCAGCTGCTGCGGACGTCCTACAAAAACGGTCAGGAATCACACGGCCCCAGTGAAGACGGTTGCCATCTCAGTGGGACCTCCAAATTGTCAAAGTTAGACTCAGGACTCAGTTTGTCTGACCACTCTGTTTTATTAGCACAGCGCTCTGCTAATAACACTCAGATAATGTGAGCACCATGCAAGATTCAAACAGTCTTATTTATACAGATAAAAGGGTGCGAACTAAACAAAGGGACAGAGAGAGCAAAATTGTAAAATTTGCCTGAGGCACAATATGCATATCCTGCTTCTTTATTAACTCTTATCGATCTAAGGCTCATGCTTCCCCAGCGCCCTTAAGTGGAGCAATTGATTAACAGTTAATGTCTGCTTTCCTGACACCTGGATTGCAGCATTTCTCATTTCTACTTAAAGGTACATACAGCATTCTTTAATTCATTCTATTTCTTTAATATAATTCATTTCACTGTCACAGTTGGTAGCCTGTTGTTTCCTACAACAACTTAATCTAATTACCATCTACAAACTGGGCAAATGACTGAATTGCAAGAAGTCAGTTCAGTAGTCTGAGCTCTCCCAAAGTCCTTATACTTTAAGATGGAAAACCAGAACTAGCTTTCAGGACAAACGCATTGCTTTCAATATTTGTTCATATTTTGAATAATTTACTGTAAATCTTAGCTAACAGAAGTGCATAAAATCAATTACAGGGTTGTTTAGCTTTTATTTTGTCAGTACTTAAATTCACTGCCTCGGTCAACACGTTTCATTGTCACTTTTTTTCTACCTGGGAGGAAAGGAACATAAGCCAGTCTTAAGGCTTGTTTTGTAGCATAACTTGCTGCCAAACTGAAAACCAACTTTGGATGTTGACCTGAAGTATCCTCTCCAGGGCATATTTGGGTTTCAGATGGGAAGTTTTAAATAGATTTGCTATCTGAACACAAAGTACTAGACTACTCATTTTGCAGAGTAGTCTAGAAAATAATCTAGATGGCCCTCTGACAAGTGGATGCCTAAAGGAATTGCCTGTCCCCTCCAGATATGTTTTATATTGTAATATAAATGTAGAGGGAGGAATACAGAAATATGTAACTCTTATACAGTTGGTAGAATCTTTAAAGGCTATGTACATATTTGAGACTTTTTGGAAAAACCTGATCTTCTAATGTAAACATGTTTTCTTCTTTGCAGATATAAAGCAACATTTCATCAGTGTGACGTCTGCAAGAAAGTTTTTAAAGGGAAATCAAGTTTGGAAATGCATTTTAGGACACATTCAGGTAAAACTTTATCTATCACTCTGTGTTACTGCCAACTTGGAGTGACGGGAGATGATGATAAATTATCACGGGACTGATAGAATTCTTCTAATTCTTCAGGCTTTATGACCCTTTAGGGCAGCAGTAGCATGAACTGAGCTCCCTACTGCTTGTTGTATGCCATCCCTTGCTGGGTGTGAATACTGCCCTCTGAATGTAGTAGTCAGTTCTTTTTAGACTTCCCTAGGCAAAGGAGCTTCTGGTTTTGTATGTGTTTTACTGATGCTCATTGTATATTCTTACTAAATTTACTCATACCTTCTACTCAGTCTGGAGATCTAGGGAATACTTAATTTCAGTTTGTAACCTAAATCAGGATTTGGAACCTAACTATCCAGGGGAAAGGTTAGTGTCTTAATACACTCAGCTCTGCATCCTCTGATTCCTCTGCAAGAACGTAATTGTTCACTAGAAAGACCTAAAAAAAAAAAAAAAACTAAATTGAGCTTCTTTAGCAATAGTACAGTAACCTGACTGTTATTTCTCTTTGTTAGATTTACTGACTGGTCCCCTTCGTGTGCACTTGGCAAAAATCCGAACTAGTTGGATTTGACGAGAATGCCATACGGATATCACTTCAAAATAACTTTTCTGTTTTTACTTAGTGAATTGTATCCTCAGATGCCAAATGTATTTTTTTCCAGTACAGCTGCTTGAGAACCATGTTTATTATATAATATAGTCCCCCATCCCCAACCATATGATTTCTACATAGTGATACTTGACTTCACATTTTTATCTATTCATGCTGACTCCTTTTGTTCTACAGGTGAGAAACCATACAAATGTCAAATCTGTAGCCAGTCCTTTAGAATTAAGAAGACATTAACAAAACACATGGTTATTCATTCAGATGCTCGACCTTTTAACTGCCAGCATTGCAATGCAACATTTAAACGAAAAGACAAGTTGAAATACCATATTGACCATGTACATGGAACAAAGGCTGCAGAAGAAACAGTAACCACTTCTGAAGAAAAAGTAATCTCCTTGCCAGTACAGTACACCCCTGATGACAAAGTTTTCCAAATTGAGTCTAAACCATACATGGATCAGCCTGAAGTTTACGAAACAGAAGTCAAACCTATGCTACAGAATGTACCAGCAGAAGTATGTGTGCCAGTAACACTGGTACCAGTTCAGATGCGGGAACCTCAAGCTGATCTAGTACAACATACCACTACTCTCTCATCCCAGTCTCATGGCATTCTTCCCCCACAGATACAGCAGCCAGATTATCAACGAACAACAGAAATAGCATTTCTGGAAAAATATACTCTCACTCCCCAGCCTGCAAATATAGTTCATCCTGTCAGACCTGAGCAAATGTTGGATCCTAGAGACCAATCTTACCTTGGAACTTTATTGGGGCTTGATACAGCTCCAACTGTACAGAATATGTCAAATAATGAACATTCATGATCGGACCCATAACATTCCACCTAACTTACTAAGCCATTAGCCACCAGAGGACTGATATGGCTACTAAGTTTTTTGTAGTTTATTTGGACTTCTAGTCTTCTGAACAGTTTTGTTGAGTGCAAGGAAAAAATAGATTTGTTTGCATATATGAACATTAAGACACATTTTGATGTATATTTATAGAGTTTCTTGTGGTTTTAAAGACTTTTAAAAATCTTATAGAAGGTCTTTTGAAAACAGGTTCTCAAATATCTTTTAAGAATACTAGCTGCAGCAAACATTAATCCCATACCTGGCCATTAATAAAAATAATTGTTCACCTGTCTGCATCTCACTTTCTAAATAAACCTTTCTTTGGATAATGGAAAAGTATATTAGAAGGGTTATGGCCAATTCATTAGGGTCACGATTGGAAAAGAACATGAAACTAAACCTCTTAATGATCCCTCACCTTAAACTAAAATTTAACTTTATCCCTGACAAACCTGGTTACATTTTTTTACTGTAATTCATATCTGAATAGTGGAATTATGAATCTGAGACTATAAACAGTACTTGTGCTCTCTTAACCTTGGTTCAATCTTCTAGAACGTTTCCAACATTTGGGCCTTGAAAGGTTTAGAGATGTGGTGATAATATACTGTAACCCTCAGGCAGTAATAAGATTGGAATAGTTCATCCTTGTTTATGAGCACAGAATCAAACCAAGCTGAAGCCCGCACTGGTATGGTCATTTCTACATTACTGCTGTGTAAAGTAATGTAAAAAGCTCTTTTCAGAAAAGTAATTTGCTTAAATTCATTAAAAGATTAATGAAATCAGCAATTATAAATCTTCAGTTGGCTTCTGGAAAAGAAAGTGAAAGGAAGTCATTTGTTTTTTCACCTTACGTGATATACATTGTATATAGGTGACAAATAATTAGGAAGAGGAAGGAAGATTAGAACATGTAAGGGCTTTAACTATTCTTTTACTGTTTCCTTACTGTTCTTCTAGTGTAGAACCATATCAAATCCACTATCTAGAATAATTTAAATTATTAAATCCCTCAAATTTTCTTCTAAGTGGAGCTCTGCAAATCCTTGGATATCTGCAGATCATTTTTGTGGATTGCGGATCGGATGTGCATACAAATTTGTATCCGTGCAGGGCTCTACTTCTAACCTCATTCCCCAAATAATACTTTCCTTGTTTTAGACTCAGTCAATCTTGTGCCAAAGGAAATACATAGAATCATACTTGTCTCTCAATTATGTCTCATTAGGGATTACATTTTAAACTAAACTTTCTCTACTTCCCATAAAAATCTGGTTTTCTTGCTTTTATTATTATTGTAAAATATTTATATCCAATTTCTAAATTATGAAACTGGAAGTTCATTTGCCATGGTGAGTTATTGTTAAAGTTCTGCATTTGGTAGGAGCATAAATAGTTTCTGAAAAAATGTCAGCATCCTACTGCTACAAACTCTCTTAATGGCCCTATCTTGTAAAATGCTAATCACTTTCTGTGAGGTGTTTGAGTGCTTTTCAGGATTGGGGCCAGAGCTGGGTGTTTGGTCATGTGTAGAAACTTTTCAACCTCACTGATTCTCATCTAAGTGCACCAAAGATTTCTGTTAGCAGTTGAGTAGTACTAGCGTGCATAGAATTTAAATGTATCATTATTTAAATAAGGACTTGTCCAAAGAAGCACAATAGAAGTCCTAGACTTACAGATCTTTAAAATTCAGTTCCTATAGTGGGACTAAGTGTATGTTTAATTGTTTTGAGTTTATATGTACAAAGCAAGATGAGATAAATACTCTGGGAACGTTCATACAGAGATGCTGTACATATGTCAGGTAAAAAGATGAGTACTAATTAACATTATACAACAATATTCAGCCCATTGAATGCCATCTTCTAAAAGGACACTGTCAAGTACTGTGCTTCCCGCTTGTTCTCTGCAAAAAAAGTTTTAAATGACCACCATACTTGCACTCCAATGCACAAAAATACTATTTAGTGTGTACCTTTCAAGTTGACAAGCACTGGAGTTTTTACCCCTCTGTACCCCCATACTGTTTGTGAAACACAAACCAATGTGGTTTCCAAAGGTTATGCTCATACCATCAAAGAAAAACTGACATCAATGCTGTCAGCACAGTTCTGAGACTGACATTCTAACTTTGCATTCTTTACTTACTTTCTTCCTCTGCAATGTGTGTGGAGAGGATTTCAATTAAACAGTGGCTTAAAAATTTTGGTTGTTAAGTTTTGTTTTATTTTGTTTTTAAATCCAATCAGTCTGGAACACACTTCACATTATTTAAGTAATATATACCCCAAATTCAATGTTCTTTTTAGGTCTGTCATGATTGTGCCTATTTAGACATTGACTGATCACTCTAGTTGATTAATTATTAAAGCCAATATTTTCAAAAGTGCCTAGTGACTTTGGGTGCTCAACTGGAGACACTTTGAAGGTGTTTAAGTTGGGTACCCCAAATCAGTATGCTCTCTTAAAAATGTTGGCCTAATAATTCATCGGTGCAGTTTTACAGTTAACCAAACTAGTTTGCATCTTTACCTGCTGGTCAGGCTCAATCGTTGCCTGAAGGGAAAAAATAGTTCATGTAGGAAAACTTACATAGAAGTGCTAAATTATTAAATAGTTAATTTTTTTCATGTGCTGGGTTTTGATTCTTATGGCCTTATGGGTATAGTGAATTTGCATGCGAGTCAAGTAAATCACCATGGACTGGTACTTCATTCTATAAGCATGAACAGATGATCTTCAACCTGAGAGAGAGCCCTATTTCTGAATAAAATGGTTTGGATTGAGAGAAGAATATGAACCATCTTGACTGCACAGATCAGAGCTTCTTGGCCATGGTACCGTCATATCAATAAACACATGTATTTGTACCTATATAACTAGAGCATATTCTTTAAGCATTGAGAGAGAGCTTTTACAATAAAGGCTGCTTTAATCTTGTAGCATTGACTCAGCTCACCACTTAGACCCACATCCTCCCTCAGCTTTCTCTTTAAAATGCCACTTTCTGATCAGTGCCAAATATTTAAAAATTGTGGGGTTTTTTGTTTTTTTTTCCCCCTCCCACAAAAACAGCTTTGGGAGGAAAAGTGGAATCTTCATTTGTGCTCTTCTATCTAAAAGGGTTTTTGTGAAATTTTCTTTAATCTTAGGCTCCTATGTAGTTCTGCAAAAAATACCGCATTTATGTTCTGTTTACATATTGCATATGCCTTTCAAAAAACCTTTGATTTTTTTCCCTTGTATTTACCGGGTCACTGGTTATTCCAGGATATCCTATCTTTGAATGGGTTTTATTTTATTTCATTTTTTTAAGAAATTCTTCCTGACCATTGCTACTCTTTCTACAGTAGTATCGTTTTCCAAGGCTGTCCTTATTCTGAACAACAGCAGTAGTAGTAGTAGTGATAGTGGTATAGCTTGGCTTATATTGTGGTGTGCCTTGAAGATAAAATATTATTTTAACTTTTAATTTACATGTTTTTAAAGACTAATCATGTTTCAAATACCCCTCAGAAACGAAAGACTTAAAGTGTAAAGAAAACTGATACACTGTAGTGAACAATCCTGGTGAGAAACATATTGGGAACAGAATTTTCTGGACAGGTCACTTGTTCCAATATCCAAAATATAATGCTTCAGAGCAAGTCAATAACCTCTTCATAATGTGCTTGACCAGGTGTAAAATGCATTATGTAGACAGGGAATGAATTACCCTTCCCCCCCCCCCGCCCTTTCTTTCTTGTGGGTTTTTTTTTTTAATTGTTTTTATTTTTTAAGGTGGAGCTTTCACGTAAAGCAGACATGAACTGTGAGAATATAGTTGCAGATCAGAGCTTTTTTTTCCTTCTTGGGGTGGAGATGGGGAATCCATTCATGGATATCTGCATAAAAGTAATAAAAGCAATTCGAGATCAATTTCCTTAAATTGATCTCACATGAATAATAACTTCAGGCTTCAGGAATTGATATGGTGCTTGAGTGCAGGAAGCATATTTGTGTGTGTATATATCCTTATGATTGCTGTCATCTTTGACATTGCTTATAAGATCAGGAGTATTTAGGTCATGTCATCATGGGCCTCTTCTTTAACAAGCTAACATGCATAAGTATTGATTGAATGTTACTGCTGGAAAAAAAGGGGGCAGACACTTTGATAAAATCCATAACTGTCCTTTCTCTATATTTTATGATGACTGTTCTGGTGCATTAAAGGTAACAATATTTTCAAATTGTTTGAAGTCTCCCATAACAAAGCATTTTGTTCATTTTAAAATGTTAAACTTTTATATAAAAAAGAGCAAAATAAAAAAATTGGTAATATTTTGCCACTGTTGTTTGAAATACTGTGCTTTTTAGTGTGGTCTGTAATAGATTGATATTTTAGGTGGAAGTCTTTTTAAGTACAATTGTCTTTTTTTAGGGAAAAATCACTCTGCTATAAGGTATTGTAAATGTAGAATAACTCAGTCCTCTGTGTAATTGTTTGATATTAAAAATTTAAAGTTCCTTTGTCCTAATGTTGCTTGCGTTTCAACATTTCTTGCAGGAGTGGTTGTGTAGGAGCAGGATTTTATAATTGTACTATGAGAATTAATGTATGATTTGATTTTATCCTGCCAGATACCCTTTTTGAATAGCAGAAAGGAATGAACAGAACAATCCTTATGACTGATTATGGTCACCCTTTTGTTTTAGGATAAGTTATAATGACTACTGTGGTTTCCCATATGCATTACAAATTGGGCCCTCTTTAGTTCTTTGTTTTAAGGTTTAGATAGTAAGAGACAGAATTCTGTATTGTGTTTTATGTTAAGTAGATTAGGGGAACATTGAAGGCCTGGGTCTCAATGTAAATTGTCTCGGTTATTGGTTCTAAAACTTAGCAAGGTTTAATTTGCAATGCCTTTTTGCTCAATATAGACTGACACTGTTTGTATTCTCAAAGGCTTGTGTGAATGAGGAATGTATGCATCAGAAAAAAATAAGGTGGAAGGCCACTGTTATAGCCAAATGGTCAAGGAAGGAGGAGTGAAGAGACTTAACCATCAATGCACATCCATAATGAAGAGAGGGCAGATTGACAACCCTAAGGTGAAGGCTGGCACCCCTAA